CCCCAAAACCCCAAAACCCCAAAACCCCAAAACCCCAAATTAGCAATATCTTATTGAACATCTATTTTTTAATGAACTCACGCATCTTATTTCATATATTCCATCAGAGCTTCTGTGCTTGGCTTGCCTGTAATTTTTCTAAACACGGCTGACCAGACTGGATCACCTCTCTTAATCACCTTTTTGGCTTCATCAGTCTATAAAATTTGAATTATAGGAATACCTGTTCACTCATCATCTTGACACAAGGATCATCGTCCTTCTCAGAACCTGTGACTTCTTCAAAAAGAGCGTGCTTACCCAAGAAGTTTACATTCCAGTCGTAAAGGTCTTTCACATCAGTTACTGTATAAATCTTGCCGCCTTCTTTAAGCAAGTGAGCATACTCACACAACAAGGGACCATTGATGATCCTTCTTCTGTAATTTGATTTTTTGAAGTGTGGATCTGCGAAGCAAATAAATATCTTTTCCAACTGGCCTTTCCCAAAATAATTAAGCACTAGCTTCATCACATTTGTCATGATCGCAGCTATGTTGGTAAACTTTGTATATCCAGAGTTGATCCTGAGGGCGTTAATTTTGTCTACCACGAACTCAGTGACCTTATCTCTGATCTCCATGCCTAGGATGAGCTTCTCTGGGAACTCCTTGCTGAGCTCAATCAAGAGGTTACCGTAACCACAGCCAATATCAAGGATCCTGACCTGAGAATTTTTATACTTCTCATCGACTTCAGGCTTGGTGTCATAAGTAACAGGATGCACAGGCGTATTGCACACAATCCTGTCTCCGTTATTATCCAATTTACCAAAATATGCTGGATAATGGAGAGACCAGTCCACCCATTCAGGAGAGAGAGGGAAGGGGAACTTTGGCTCATTTAGCGGATTCACATGAGCCCTCATACGGTACTTAGTCTTTTTTGGCATGGTGGCATACTCTCTTTTGTTCCCCATAGTGTCAATTATTTCAGAGTCCTTGCCAATTTTCGCCTCTTCCTTTTCTTCTTCTCCATCTTCTCCCTCTTTCTCTAAAGTGTTTAGGGCATGAGCTTACCGAGATCCTCCATTTGGTCATGAGTACGCTTCATGTTGGAAATTAAGGATTTTATATAATTTTATTAAAATTGTCCAGTAATTTTACACGACTCAATTTTAAGGCAACTTTAGGGGTTTTGGGGTTTTGGGGTTTTGGGGTTTTGGGGTTTTGGGG